ATTAATAGGATAAAGTATTATAGGTTAATAGTCGTTCGATACGTTATGCGTCAGTTGGATCGTCAGTAGAATCACTCAGTTAGTTGTCAATCTTCCGAGTTATTGTCAATGTGAGTTCATCTCACTATATTATGTATTCCAGTATATATCCATGTATGTTAGGATATAGGATCCAGTAGAGTGGAGACCATAATGTAAATTTTATGTGCCTGTATTGGTAGACTTGTTAGGTTGTTGCTTGTAATCTTAAGCGTGTGTGTGATCGGTTAAGGGCTGAGGCATTCCAGCTTCATGTAGAAGGCCAAGATTCGGGTGGACTAGCTTTATGCTAAAGGCCAAGGGTGAGTTGATGGCAATAAAAACTTAAGCGATTGTGAGCCTAAATAATGGCAATGGCAACTTAAGTGATTATGAGCCTAGATACTCAGAAGGCGAGGTGACGGCAATAACAACTTAAGCGATTGTGAGCCGGATAATGGCAATAGCAACTTAAGCTATTGTGAGCCTAGATACTCGATGTATGTATGTATATGTATTGTGATATATGGTATATTGGGGGAATTTACTAAGCCTATCGCTTACCCAGTTGGTTCATGAGAAGGGGAAGGTTCGATTGTACACACGCGCATTCACAATTATGTTTCGGCAAATGTAAATATACTCTGATAAAATTTAATGAATAAAATTGAAAAAATTTGCCTTTGAAAATCAGGACGTTACACATGGCTTTAATTTATTGGGTGTCACTGAACAATCAGATATGTGCGTGGTATAGAGGACACAAACATATTGCAAAAACTCGTTTTATTGGTTTGCAAGGGGATATGGAGGCAGCAAGGGCTCATTCCCTACGGGTATGGATCCACAACATTGGAGTACTACTATTGACCACTTCTTAACAGATAAGCATAAAAACGATCCAGTGAAAACACAGAATGTCGGAAGAAGCAAGTAGTTAAGAATCGTGGAGGGACATACAGTTACGGTAGTGCTTGTTTTTAGAATGTAAGTTATAATAATGTTTATTTAGTTATAACATATTTTGTAATGTTTATCCACGTATACCATATTTTGTAATGTTAAATAAAATTTGAATAGACTTGAAGCATTTCACCGTGGGCATGCCAATAAACAAGAGGAATTTGTTGACCCATTATTCGAAGACCAATATGTAAGTTTTTATTACTTAAAAATGAAGTAGATTGTCATTTTTTTGTAATAGTTTTGAAGTATATTGGGAATATTCGTGAAATACATAATGCTTTAGTTGGTGAGATTTCTTTACAAACTCAGCACAACCGACTCCGTGGTGATCTGAACTCCATTGATTGGATAGCCATATTTGAGAAGGTGTTAGGTGCTCGAAGGGGACATGTGAGAGGCATCGAGCCTAAACCTCCTTCTGCAATAGGTATAAGTGCTCCCTCCCAGTGGTAGTCACAGTCACAGTCACAAGCACCGCAACCAACACAAGTACTTATTAAACTCTTAAAGAATTTGGTAGCTTGGTATTTTGCTATATCGTTAAGAACTTGATGCATTTATAGTAATTTTTGGTAGTTTGATACTTTGTTTATTTGTTAAGTTCTTAATTCATTTGTTATGAATTTGGTAGTTTGGAAGTTTGTTAAATTGTTAAAGACTTAATTGATTTGGTAGTTTAATAATTTGTTAAATTGTTAAGGACTTAATTCATTTGGTTGGTTTGATAGTTTGTTAAACTTTTAATGACTTAATGTGCTTGTGACTTAATTGTTAAGTAATAAATATTTGTTTTTTTAGTTTGCTATTTTAACTTATATACTTTACTTTTTAAGACGTGGATGTTAACGCTTTTCTCCAAAACTTGGTATTTGTGATGGCAATTGGGTATATTATCCGCTTTTAAGAACCAAGTCAGCAGTGTTAGCAACAACGGCGTGAAAAACATCGACGGGGAAGACGAAGACGCCTAGTATTTCTTGTTTTATGTTATTGATGATGTTATTGTAAACTATCAAGACAAAAAACACCTAGGGTTTTATATTATTATTAAATGAGAAGTACAAGATACAATAAAAGAAAAAGACAGAATATATAGACTAGCTAATTAAGGTTTTATAGCTAATGAGCCAACATAAGACCCAACACAAAATAAAGCGCAAAATCTTATTAGGCTATCAGTTATTATGGATTTATTAGATAATTTATGGATGTGATCGATTGGTATTTCTTTTTTATTAGATCGTTTATGTAATGTGGCATATTTTATGTTTTATGTAATGTGGTATATATTGTTTTATGTTATTTGATGATTTATGTAATGTAGATTTGTAGATTATGATTTTTGTATTTTTGTAAATTCTACATTTTATAATATATAAACTAATATCATATATATAAATTGTATTAAAAAAATAATAATTAACGGAGACATATTTTACGACAACATCCACCAATTGCGACGATGCGTGCCTTCGGGAAGCTTCGCCAGAAAAAACTCTGAACCGGTGGTCGGAAAGTAGAGACAACACTAATAGCGACAAAAATGGCTTTTAGTGATGCCAGCTATTAAAGATCACAATAATTGTGACAATTTGAGTATTAGCTACGAGTTAATAGCAGTGCGACGACTTGTCGTCGCTAAAGGTTTTAGTGATGATTTGAGGCATCAATTGCGAAGTTATTTGTCGTCGTGAAGGTAACTTTTTTTGTTGGGTTATTATGCAACCACCACCAGCACCATATACATGTCTAGCACCGGTTCATACATGTCATAATCACCACTGTCTACTATAACATCTTGGCATCCTTTCTTTTTGAACGGCTATGATCTGGGCATCCTCCATATCACATTCGTTTGTATTCATAATTTGCTTTGTTACATGAGTTCATGGTCGGCCTGTTGATTTTGAAGGCCCTGTACCACGAGTAAAAATGGGCATATATATATATATATATATATATATATATATATATATATATATATATATATATATATATATATATATAATAAATTTAAAGGGTGAATTATTACGATGGAAAACTAAAAAGTAATTTAATCGATAGAAAAGAGAGAAATACAAATTTATAAAAGTTGATGTTAAATATATAACTTCAACTCATTAGTTAAAAAAAAAGGGTAGATTGTAAAGCATGAAGCATAAATTAAGGGGTAAAAGTATAACTTGGAGTATAATCCATTTAACTAAGCATTAATTATGATGCAAATTTATAAAAGTTGAGGGGCTAAAAATATAATTCTAAAAAAATGATTTAGTAAAAGAAATTGAAAGATTAAGTAGATTGTAAAACATGAATTATAAATGAGGGGAGAAAGTGTAACTTGGAGTATAATTTCATATGAATACAAACGAAGGGTGTATAAATGAAGGGGTAAAATTATAACTTGGAGTATAATCCATTTAATTAAGTTCTAATTATGATGTAAATTTTTAAAGGAGCTAAAAATATAATTCTAAAAAATAGATTTAGTAAAATAAAATCGAAAGATTATGTAGATTGTAAAACATGAATTATAAACTAGGGGAGAAAAGTGCAACTTGGAGCATAATTCTATGGTCCTGTTTGTTTTTTGTCTGCAGATCTTTTTTGTCTCTTCTGTATGCGCGGCGCAGCGCAGACCACACATTAGGTTTCGTAGACGATTTGTTTTTTTGAAGATTACAAACCTAAAAAGATCTGCGCGTCGTTTTCTTGGCGCAGATGTGGACCATAGTCTTGAAACATCTTCAGACATCTTTTAGTCTAAAAAAACACATATATCCACTACAAAAAATATGTCATTTAATGGCACACAAAATGTGTCACTAAAAACTCAAAAAGCGCCACTAAAGGCATATCAAAGAATCTCCGGCGCACATAATAAATGTTACTAGAAACGCTCCCACTAAAACCCATTAGTGACACTTTTTGCTTTTGCCGCTCGTGATTCAAGACGTCGATTATAGGAACTCATTTGTGACAATTTATAAATAAAGATTTAATTACAATAAGATTATTGAAACTAATGGGGTTTTTTTAACTCAGATTTATTACAACTTTATCTATTAAAAATAATTTTTAATAAAAAAAGATTGACAATACTAAAAGAAAAAGGTTCGATGACACAATAATGACATTTGTGACAAATTTATAAATAAAGATTTAATTACAATAAGGTTATTGAAACTGTTTATATAAACATGAAAAAAAATCTTAATATTATCTTTATATTTTTTTGTGTCAAATTTTATAAAACATTATTTAATGGAGTATCATTCATTTATTTTGAAAATTTTCATTTAAAATCAAAGTTTATTTTCATCAAATTTATGTGTTAAATATTTTATCCTGAATTACAATGTGAATGTATAACTTTGCGATCAGAGTTTTTTTGGTTTTTTTCAAACATATACGTTAATTCATACCATTTTATTTTAATTTTTATACAATAATACATAAAAGTTTATCTATATTTGTTAATCATCTATAATAAAGTCATAAAATTATTGAAAAACTCTTTTAAGTTTTTTTTTAAATAAGTTTAATTAGATTTTAGTTTATTCTAACAGCCTGAAGATGTTAAAAAACAAATAATATTTTTCTTTCAAACTGCAGACATTTGGTCTACCAAATAGTTTGTATGTTTAAAAAAATCTTGACTTGCCTTAGAGCATCCATAATGCATAGTTCAATGGGAGAGTTGAATGAGGTGTAATGCCTAATTGAGATTCAATGGATTAAATTTTATCATTGTGGGATGTCATGTTGACATTCAATGGATATGTAGTTCAATGGTCATTGAACTATTAAATGAGAAAAATGAAACCTTTTAACTATTAAATATATATATATTCCATTGAACTCTATTGAGTTTAATGCATTGTAAAAAAATTAATATAGAGTTGTATAGCAAGTAAAATGATGATGTGTCAATCCATTAAACTCTAACAAGTTTAATGCATTGTGGATGCACTTAGAATCGACACACTTGGACTCCCTTAGGGTCGGCCGTGCATAATTTACAAGCATGAATTTTTTTCGAAATGAAGAGACCAAACGAAACCATGGCAAGTTTAAGATTGTATGTATTCCGGTGTAAACAATATTATTTTACAATTCTTAAGTCTTCCCGGCCTTCCATAAATCTTGAAACGTTAATCAATAAGGATGTTACATCCTCAACCATTCAGCAAAAAAAATGAAATACAAACTGAAACAAACGAAGCATAAAGGGATTAAAAAAACTTAAGCATAGTCCTCTGAGGTTGGAAGTGTCTCGTATGATCCAATGAAAACATCACCGTAGATGAATCCAGCCAACCCACCACCGATAAGTGGGCCGACCCAATAAATCCAGTTTTGTGAGAAGTCTCCGCTGACGACAGCAGGGCCAAATGACCGAGCAGGGTTCATTGAGCCACCGCTGAAAGCTCCAGCAGCCAAAATGTTGGCTCCAACAATAAAGCCGATTGCGATGGGTGCAATGGTTCCGAGTGATCCCTTTTTAGGGTCAGCAGCGGTGGCATAGACTGTGTAGACTAGAGCAAATGTTATGATAATCTCAAACACGACTCCTTGAATACTGCTCATCCCACTAGCAACTCCGTGTGTTGGAACGGCCTGTCAAATTCCAAATCCATGAATAAAAAGTTGAATAAAAAGTTGTTTTAGCAATGAAAATATGATATAAGAAAGCTCACCAAGCCACCAGTAACAAATTGTAGGAGTAAACATGCAACGATGGATCCAAGCAGTTGGGCAATCCAGTAAAATAGACCGGTTATGATGGTGATGTTACCACCAATAGCCAATCCGAAGGTGACAGCTGGATTCAAATGGCCTCCGGAGATGTTGGCTGCTATTGAGACTCCAACAAAGAGTGCAAATGCATGGGCTATTGCGATTGCAACTAGTCCAGCTGGATCTAGTGCTGCATCTGCTGTGAGCTTACCTGAAAAGTTAATAAAACTCCATTATTCGTTTTATCATTTAATCGTTATAATATTAACACATATTTTCATTTTATGTATCCGAGAAAGAAAGCTGGAATACCATAAGCAATAGCGGACCCGACACCCGCAAACACGAAAAGAAGGGTGGCAATGAACTCAGCCAAGTAAGACTTGAGTGAAACTGCACTAAAAGAGTCATCGATGCTACCAATTGCCAACTTCACCATTTTTAGAACTCTTTGAAGCTAAAAGTGAAAAGATGAGATGGTTGACTTGCTAAAAGTGTGATTTGTGATTGGTTTCAACTAAGCGTTATATAGTGCTTAACATCAGATTATTAAAATAATTAATTTAAATATTTAAGTTTTGAATATGTGGGCTATATATGAAGTGTCGTATATATGTATAGAGAATTTGAGCTGGCACCGCCCTTGGGGCCAAAGATGGCTGAGCCTGACCGTTGATTTTTGCCGCCCCACCGCCCACAGGCCTTGATTACGAAAATCTTCGTTCCTTACGTACTAATATTGAAGGTTGGGAATATTACAACTAATGTGTTGCATATGGTTATAATTAATGGCTGTGTTATTACCCATTTATAATTACTTGACTCATATTGATACTAATTCGATTTCATCCAATAATCTTATTTATTTTAAAACACTTTGTTTGATTTTCGACCACTAAAGTCAGTAGTTTCCCATTTTAATGTTATATAACCCACTAAAATATATAAAGACGTTATCTTAATTATAAAACCGTCATGAGTTCTAATTTTCCATGATTTAAAATAATAATATGGGTGTACAAATTCAAATGATTGAATGGACGGGTCACGTTATACTCTAATAATTTTTGAAATATCAAAATAGCATAAAATAATAGTTTAACGAGTTTATAATTTAATTAATGACAATTATGGCACATCTTCCATTTAAAAATGGAGCCAGCAATCGAGAATTGGTTGTCATGTTTAAAGTAATGCTAACAAGATGAGTAGTAATTTAAGTTGAAAAAGATTTGTTCTAAAAAAATCTCCTTATCAAGTTTATCGTTTATTCTTATATTTCAATAGAGATTTTAATTTGTTTTGTTGTGAATATTGATTCTCTTTATTTACCTAGTGGCCACTAGGGACCAAGTATGGGCCCCACTTTAGTCGAAGAGTGAACTCCG